CCAATGTGTGCCAGTAGTGGGGATCTTGAATGTTAAAAGTGATGGATGTGATGCTAATTAAGTGGGCCACTTTGTCCTGGATACTGTTAAGATCCTTGAATGTTGCTGGAGCCAGAAAAATGTAGACAAATTTGACCAGATGACATTCCTATGCTTGTCAACAGTCAACAAATTTTAGGGAAACAGGAGGTGAGACCTATTCACCTCACCACAGAATTCGCAGCTTGTCACCCACACTTTTAGACACAATATTGAAATGCCTGATCTAGGTCAGTTTTTGATTGTAATCTTGTTGAACATCAAATGGTGATGATTGATTTCTCTCTTCAGTCCAGCTGGAATGCAAAAGAAGCCATCAGCTTCTTTTCCCCTCTCCCCTATCTCTCCTACCCTCACATCCCACAATAAGGGTGAGCAGCTGACAAATTTCAAAGTCACTAAGAATCAGACTATGCAGTCAGCAGAGTCTGTCACTTCCCAAACTTCCACCAGCCCAATGGACCAATCTTCTCTAAAATTGTTCCCATCCAGCATGCAACTCAAATCCATCTCTATTTTCTCTGCTATCTCCACTCCCATCTTCTATGAAATCACCTTAACCACGATTTCTACTTTTACCTCGATCTACCTCACTCCTACCAACCTGCTGACAACCTCTCCTGGTCCCCTTGTCAGTCAATATTGTTAACAATTCTGTCTCTTCAGGTGTACTGTGTCTTTCCTATAAATTTGCTATCATTACCCCACAAGTGAATCCCTTCAGTCATGTTTCTACTCACCACATTACCAAAATAACCCTAATCAAAGCCACAAATTACTCAACACAGTTGACCACACCATCCTCCTTCAACACTTCCCCATTGTCATCCAGCTGGGTGGCACTACATTCACTTGTTTCCATTCTTATCTATCTAATTGTAGGCAGCACTATTAACACTGGTACTCCCAAAGGATCTAATGTAGGTCTGATCCTATTTCTCACATATATGATGCCCCTCAGTAAAATTATCCAAAGTTACGACATTGAATTTCTGATGCACACTGATGACACCCAGATGTACGACATGATCAATTTCTCTCAACTCTTCCAATTAGCTGAAGTATTGTCCAACGTCAATTGGATGGGCAAAATGTTCCAAGAGTTAAATATTGGAAAGACTGCAACTAATATTTTCAGTCTTTGTTGTAAAATCTATTCCCTACCTATTGACTTCAGCTTTTTCCTGGTAACAGTTTAGGAAGAAACTAGACCCAGAGATGAACTTCTAACAACGTGATTATGATGTTAATCACTAATTTCCACCTCCCTAACATCATCCAGACTTTGACACTTTTTCAGTCCATTTGCTGCTGAAGCCCTCATTTATTATTTTGGAGAAAGAATTTCAGGTGGAGGGATAAAATCTGGAAGAAAACATTAGTTAGAGACAGGGCAGTAATTGAACACTGCTCAAGGCAGAAAGGGTATGGTTTGGATGTCTATTTATTATCTTGTCACCCTCCTCCACCTTCTTTCTCCTGCTCCTCCTTCCTTTTCATGCTCCTGAAGTATTTATCGTATTGTTGGTAGCTAGGGCTGCCCCTTATGGTGGTAAGGTTACATGTAATGGACCAGGATACATCTTGACCTGTTCTGCCAGGTACTGCAGGACTCCTTCAGAACAATCTAGGCAGTTAAAAATAATACTTTTTGTTGGTTCTACCACATTTTATTTGCAGCACAGGTTTCATTGCACGAGCCTTGTGCTCAGATGATAGCCTTTATTATCTGGTAACCACAAGTTCAGTTTGCTATGGTGGCTCAAATACCATGACCACAGTGGGATGCTACAGATTGAAGACATCATGCATCTGCCAGAATAGTGGGTACTGGCCTGCATGGTTGTGCAGTCTACAGTGCCCTGCATAATGGCAAAGTCGTAGTCCTAGTGAGCCAACGTGTTTGTCCTCTCTGCTTTTCTCTAGCAAAATAAAATGAAATATAATTGACTGTCATCAAATGGAGAACCACACTGCCTGGGCTTGTGCAACAGTTAATGACAAATTGTGTGCAGATTGAACCCGTTAAGAGCAAGTTTTGTAGATTTGCTTGGATAGCCAGGGTATCACTTGGAGAAGTAAGGTACCCAACGGGGATCTGGTCCCAGGAATCCTGTGGTAAAGATCAGGTGCCCTTCAGGGAAGGCAAAGTACCATTTAGAAATGGTAAATATATGCAAAAATTTGATTAAAATTGAAAGCATAAGCTATTTACTATCATTCATTTGAACAGTGAATAAATCTGTCAAAAGTTAAAAGTGTCAAGAGGACCAGTAAGTGGATTTTTCAAAAATGTCAAGAAGATGTGACAAAATTGTCAAGAGTATCTGTCAAAGTACATTGTCAAGCTTTCTAGACAGCCCTTTAAATCTTTCAAGAAATAGGTCTGTCATGTTTAAAAGGAAGAATTGCTTAACATATCACTGTTTTTGTTGACATATACCTGAGGGCTCTCATTATTACTGCTGTATTACAGATTTCATAACCAACCATTATCGCAGCAAAGTGCCTCCAATTTGATTAACAGCTACAAGTAGTTATAGGACTCTTGATATGACACTATGAGTTTAGATTGCATGTTAATACAGATTGTGTACTTGAATGAAATGTTTGTGTCCTAAGGCAATATTAAGTTGAAGAAATGTAAATGTAGTAAATGGGTTTTATGAATGAGTGTATTGTTAATGTAGTAAAGTCTGCTTCAGAAATTTAGGAAATTTAATTTATAGAACTTTATTTTATCTCATTTCTGTGTTGGTGTTGTGATCTGTCCGTGGGAGAGACTAGATCAGTTGGTTTGGTAGATGTAAAAGCGAAGGGTTGTGATTTGCTTGGCATAAGTTGGCACTAAGTTGGAATTGGTCTATAAAGGGTCATAGGATGGAGCATAGATTGATGCAGAGGGTATAAGAGTCTATGCAAAATGAATAGACGGATATAGTTTGGCATGCGGCTATGAGGAGAGACAGAGATTAGTGGGTGCATTGTTGGCTTGAGTTGGCACAAATGGGGTATGTGTGAGAAGGCTGTGAGTGGGGCTGCAGTGATGTTTTATGTTTTATTAAATTTCAATACAGTACTAGTGTGCTGATGCAGGCCTTCCATACAGTCCACCTGCACACCTTGCAGCTTCTTTTCTCATTGTAGAAGACTGGGCCACCTAGAATGAAAATTAGACCTTCTGGGACATTTCTCCTGAGCTGGGATGGCAGTTCTGTGTGATCTCCCAAATCTGTGCTCCTAACTCAGTAGTGAAAATACAGGATTAACATTATGAAAAGTAAGACGAGGTAGATGTCAGAAGGTATTGCCACTCACTGGGAACACCAGAACAAGTGACCATATATATAAAATAAATACCAATCAATCCAGCAAAAACTTCTTTACCCAGAGAGTGGGAATTATTAACACAAGGAATATTTGAGGCAATTAGCCTTGTCAGATTTAAATAAAGCTATATACACAAGGAGGAAAGGACTGCGAAACTCAAAGCAAAATCAGAATGCACATGAAGATGGTCAGTAAACTGCATTGTTGAAAATGATGAGCATAGATAAAGACTGAAGTTACATACATGCTGACATACACAGTTTCCAGAACAAAGTTAAAATTCTGCTCCTATGATGCTGCTTGGCCTGCTGTGTTCATCCAGCCCTGCACCTTGTTGTCTTAAAATGCTGTTCTTCAGTTTATATTTACCTTACTTCTGAATAGTCAAGAATGCCAATGGTAGGGAGATCAGAATGAAACTAGGATGACTATTTGAACTGGGAAGCCCTGGATCCCACTTGTGGTCAGAACCGAGGTATTTTCAAAGCAATCACCTAACCTTAATATGATCTACCCAGTATAAAGGAGAGTACGATTCACAATAAATACAGCACACCAGTTAGTAATAAATAGAAATAAATTGTTGTCAAAAATAAGACCAGTGTTTGCTATCCTAGATAAGAATTTAGGAGGAGATAAATGGTCAGATGTTGCAAATGGAAGTGCCAAGAAAAAGGTATGGAAAATAGGATAGGTGGCAATAGGAACAAAGGTATCTTGGAAGGATGAGTTCTTTTGGAATGTAGAAAGCAAAGTGAAAAACATATAAACTTGCTGGTGAAATTATATTGCAGATGGAAATACTGGTGGATTTGGACCCTGTAAGGATGGAAAATAAAGATAAGGAAGCCTCTATCATTGCCATGCAAGGAAAATAAATGATACAGTTAGAGGAAATTTGACTGGAGCTGTCAAAGATCCTGTTAATGACTATTAAGGGGCTAATCATTACATTAATGAATGAATAACTTGTAAAATGTAGTTGTCATTTACTTTTTGTTAGTCAGTTCATTGGAGACAATCCAGCACTTGATGTTTTAATGACTGTTTTGAAATTTTCATTCTGCAAATGAGACAGTGCATAAAGGTCAGTCCAAACGTAGATAAAATTCACAGTTTCTGATCAGACATAGCAATGTCAAAGATAGAATAGAACTGGAAAAAGTCAAGGCTGAAGGAAGAACATCTAATCTATTAAACCTCAGCCATCCAATAATCAGACATATCCAAGCTAGCATTCAGCTGCATCCTGAATGCCCTTACCTCCTTAATGTTTTTGACTTTACATTATCTAATAGATTGGTACAATTTTGACTAGCATTTGAGTAAAGACATGTTTAACAATAAAATTTTTTATTTTTAAATTTAGTTTTAAATTTACTTTGTTTGCATAGTAAACATATGATAACAGATTTATTTTCTTGGTTAGAGCTTTTGTCTTGCTTTTCAATTTATGACATCGTCATTAATTTAACTACAAACTTTTTTGAACTACAGACTTGAAATTAACAATTTCATGTTAAACATTATTAATAAACTGTACTACAAGTGACAAGAATACATATTCATTTTGTCATATGATCCTGTTGAAAGAACTAATGATAAACAGAAATAGTCCGTACAGCACTTACCATGTAGGTGCAGAGAGAAATCTGAATCATTTCGGTGAATTGAGTGAACAGCCAAAAGTAACTTCTCTGAAAATAATTATCTTTTCTACTAACTTCTCCCTTTATATAGTTCTACATCTTGAATCCATGCCAACATATAGAATAGAAGAAAACATCAAAGGTCATCAATTATTGTTACATTTACACTCATTTTTGTTTATAGATATAAATATTTATTTAACATAATAAGCAGTGTTTTAATATTCTAGTCAAACTTAGTGTTAGTAAACTAATGTCAGAAATTTGGGATGAAAGACATGGGGTTTGAAACCTGAACTTAAATACTAAATACAGTTTAAGCAAAAATTGAGTTTAAGTGAGTTATTTTCTTAAATTTTAAAATGTAACAAAAACAATAAGACCATAAGAAATAGGAACAGGAGTAGGCCTTTCAATAGGAGCATGTCCTATCATACATTCCTCATGGTCACTATCCAGTCTTTTCTTGTAACCTTTGATTTCCCTACTGATCAAGAATCTATCTCAGCCTTAAATATACACAAGCCCATTGCTCCCTTCTCTTTAATTTAGAATCCTTTTTCTTAGAATGGCACTTACAGTCGAGGTTTATGCTTCATGAGTAATAAACGGATTTCAATTTATTTTAATGCTGCAAGAAAGAATTAAATCATATTTGTTATGTTGGCACAATATCTTAGCCAGTAGTAGTATGGAGATAAAGCCATTTTGATCATTGAGAGGTCCTCGAATTTGCAAACCAGGCACCTACCAGAAATTGGGAGACAGTAAGAACTGCAGATGCTGGAGTCAGAAATAACACAGTGTGGAGCTGGAGGAACACAACAGGGCCAGGCAGCATCAGAGGAGCAGGAAAGTTGACGTTTAGGGTTGGGACCCTTCTTCAGAAATGTGGAAGGGAGCTGGGAAATAAATAGAGAGAGGAGGGATGGGGCTGGTGAAGGTAGCTGGGATGGTGATAGATGAGTGCAGGTTGGGAGTGATGGAGATTGGTCAGTGAGGTAGGAGGGGCGGATAGGTGGGAGAGAAGATGGACAGGTTGTGTCGGGTCAAGGAGGTGGGGGTGAGAGGGAGGTTTGGACATGGGATGAGGCCAGGTGCGGGGAGATTTTAAAACTGGTGAAATCCATGTTTAGGCCATTGGGCTGTAGACTCCCGAGGCAGAATATGAGGTGTCGCTCCTCCAGTTTGCGGGTGGCAGCACTGGAGGCGGCCCAGGATTTGATGGGGTAAAGGTGGAATGGGAGGGTGTCGATAGAAAAAGGTTGGAAATGAGCTCTAAAGACAGGCGTATCTCAACCTAATTGACATTTCTATCGTACCTCCTCAACTTGCTGTCAATTAAAAGGAAACCATTTACAACACATTTAAAAGGATTCTAGACTGCTATCAATGAAAAGAACTGCAAAAGTTGGAAGACAGGGAAGTAACATTTGCACCATGTAAATCACAGTCAATGACTATCTTCAACAAGAGAGAATCTAACCATTGACATTCAATGGTATTACCATTGCTGAATTCCACACTTTCAACATCATGGATTTACCATTGACCAGCCCATATAAAAACTGGTGTTACATGAGCAAGTCAGAGGTTAGCAGTTCTGCAACAAGTAACTGACCTCGTAGCAGCAGGTGCCTTTCTACTATCTACAAGGCATAATTCAGGAACGTGATGGAATACTTCCCACTTACCTGGATAAGTGCAGCTCCAATACCGCACAATAAGCTCAGCACCATCCACAAGAAAGCAGCCTACTTTACTGGCTTGGCATCCACCACCTTCAATATTTACTCCCTTCACAAACAAACACTACCAATGGGAGCAATTTGTACCATCCACAAATTCCCTTGATTGGCACCCCATTCACCTTGAAGAAGATTATCTCAGAGAAAAGTGGTACACCATCAGATGGGCCAGTGGGCCAAGGAGTGGCAGACAAAGTTTAACTTAGATAAATATGAGGTATTGCATCTTGGTAAGGCAGACCAGGGCAGAATGTATACACTTAATGTCAGGGTCCTGGGGAGGGTTGCTGAACAAAGAGACTTTGGGGTGCAGGTTCATAGTTCCTTGAAAGTGGAGAAACAGGTGGACAGGGTGTTGAAGAAGGCATTTAGCATGCTTGCCTTCTTTAGGTCAGTATATTGAGTATAGGTGTTGAGATGTCATGTTGCAGCTCTACAGGACCTTGGTGAGGCCACTTTTAGAATACTGCATACAATTCTGGTTGCCCTTCTATAGGAAGGATGTTGTTGAACTTGAGAGAATGCAGAAAAGATTAACAAGGATGTTGCCGAAATGAAGGGCTTGAGTTATAAGGAGATGCTGTATAGGCTCGGGCCTTTCTTCCCTGGAGCATTGGAAGCTGTGGGGTGACCTCATAGAGGTTTATAAAATCATGAGCGGCATGGATAGAGTGGATAGACAAGGTCTTTTCCGCAGGGTGGGGGAGTCTGAAATGAGACGGCATAGGATTAAGGTGAGAGGAGAAAGATTTAAAAGGGACATAATAGGCAAAATTTTCACACAGAGGGTGGTGCATGTACGTAATGAGCTGCCAGAGGAGGTGGTATAGGCTGGTATAATTACAACATTTAAAAGGCATCTAGATGAGGAATTGAATAGGAGGGGCTTAGAGGGATATAGGCCAAATGCTGGCAAATGGGACTAGATATATTTAGGATATCTGGTCAGCATGGACGAGATGGACCAAAGGGTCTGTTTCTTTGCTGTACAGTTCTACGGCTCTATGACTGGGCCTCGTGTGAGTAGATTGGTGACTGTCTCCTTGACGTATGTTAAAACTGGAATAGGCCTAATCAGAGGCACGTTCATGTTTGAGAAATATCAGGACTTTTCCTTTCCATCCACCCCCAGCTGACCCATATTTGGGGTTAAAATCTAGCCTCCTAATCCCTTGTCAATCTAGTCAATTTGCCCCAAACCTCTTCTTAGCTAGCATAGGGAATGTCAGGGACATCAGTCAATCTGCTGTTCATTGTTCCACCAAGCAAGTGTCTGAAGCCAACACAAGAAAAAAAACTTCTATTACTTTTCGCATTGACAGCTTGCGACAGCAGAATATGTTCTGCAGTCTGGACCGATTGTAGCTTCCCTCAAAATTTAAGGTCTCACTAACCAGATCAAATCACCCAGGTGATGAGCCTTGTGTTTTCATCAATCACAGGGCCTTCCAATCCATTCATGCACAACTAGATTGTGATCATACTGTCAGATCAATGTAAAGAAAAATGCTACACTTAGATGCTCAGGAAACAAATATAATTATAAAAAGCAGAAGTGTAAGAATATACAGAAGTTTAAGACAAAGTGAAAGGAACAATGACTAAAGAAAAATTAAACTGCCTGAACAATATTGTGTGTAGCGTTCAAATAAAATAGAGGAACTGGTGGCGAGAATCAGTAGCAAGGAACAAAATGTGGTAGGAGTAACAGGTATGTGGTTACATACAGAACAGGTCCAGCAACTAAATATTGCAGATTATAACATGATCAGAAAGGATAACAAAGGAAGTGGGTAGGAAGTAGTTGTACTAAATATAATGGTGATGGAAAATAGGAGCAAACTACTAGAAGGCCAGAACAAAGTCATGGGGGAACCAAATAATCAAATAAAACAAACAGAACCAATGAAACAATAGCATAAAAATAATATGACATTAGTTTCAGAGATAGTAGGAACTGCAGATGCTGAAGAATCTGAGATACCAAGGTGTAGAGCTGGATGAACACAGCAGGCCAAGTAGCATCAGAGGAGCAGGAAGGCTGACGTTTCAGA